GTGTTCAGAGAGGAGTTGGGGACTCTGAAAGACGTCAAAGCCTCAATCAGAGTTAAACCTGATGCACCTCCTAAAAGAGCTCAGGAAACTGGCATTCCAGTTAACTACAGTGAATGGGCAGCACCCATAGTGCCTGTGATGAAAAGAGACAAGTCACTCTGCCTATGTGGGGATTATAAAGTGTCAGCTAATAAGGCAGTTGAAACAGGAACCTTCCCATTGCCACGTTTAGGGGAGCTGTTAGCAACCCTTAGTGGAGGTAAGGTATTCTCCAAGATAGACTTAGCTAGAGCTTACCAGCAGGTGTTGCTGGATGATGACTCCAAGAAATACACTACCATCAATACCCACAGAGGATTATTTGTGTAGAACAGACTCCCTTTTGGAATTAGCTCTGGACCGTCCATATTCCAGTGAATTATGGAAAATCTAATGAAAGACTTACCAGTGGTAGTTTTTCTTGCTCATTATGGGACGCTCAGAGAAGGAACATCTCCACAACCTTCAGAAGGTCCTACAACGGCTTCAAGAAAACGGACTACGAGTGAAACGCTCTAAGTGCGAGTTTGGCAAAACTGAAATAGAGTACCTGGTCCATGTGCTGGATGAGCAGGGCACACACCCTTCAAAGGACAAAGTGAGAGCTATTCAGGATGCTCCGGCTCCTAGTAACGTCAAGGAGCTCCAGGCGTTTTTAGGACTTGTTAATTAGTATGGAAGATTTGTGCCACAGCAAAGCACAGTCTTGGCACCATTGTACAGACTGCTCAGAGGACAAGTGATTTGGAAATGGGAGTGTCACGGGAGTTTTGGACAGGACCCAATAGCAGACCACGAGATAGGATTGAGGAAACGAAAATACTTTATTTTTAGAAGGTACAGCATGCGGAATCGACGGGGTGGTTCTCCGTGGACCGATACCGGAAGGCAGGCAAGATTACTGTGTGGATCCCTTGGTCCGACACAGGGCTGCAGGCAGATCGACGGTGTGATGTCCCGTGGATCGACACCGGAGGCAGGCAGATTAACAGGTACTCGAGGCAGAAGACAGTACCGGGTTGAAGCTGGTCCGGGAATGAAGACGGTACCGGGTTGAAGCAGGTCCGGGAATAAAGCCTGTGACGACTGTTCCGGCATGAAGACTGTGGAACACAACGGAGGGCACGGGGGATTCCCGGACCGGCGGACACCGGAGGCAGGTGCTCAAGGCAGAAGACGATACAGGGTTGAAGCGGGTGAAAGACGGTACGAACTGACAACCTGAGACTGCAGGACCAGGGTTGGTATAGTGCCAGGGGAATGATTAGTGGGATCTGAGTCTGGTGTGTCAGCCTGTGGGAGGTAATCGGCTGGAGTGTCCGCAGCTGTGCACTAATCAGAGGTGTGGCCATAGGAGGTGTCTGGAGAGAGAGGAAAAACACAGAGCACATGGCACACAATAACAAACAGGGGAATGACGGAACTCATGAGGAGAGGAGATCAGGGGAAACAGAGGTAACACACAACGGGTCAGATAGGGATCCTGACACTGAGGTTGAACAGGTTGCTTTTGTCAAGTGTCCTTTGGCAGAGAGCAGTGACACAGGAACAGCCGTGACTTCAGCTCTAGTCCACTCACTGCTGGCGGAGCATATACAAGGAGCACTACTAAACGCAACACAGGTTGCAAGGACGACACGCACCGCCAGTGAGTTGTCGCGAGTGTATACTTATGTCATAGAGGGCTGGCCCACTCAGGTACAGGAAAAGCCTAAAGGTGTTTTTCACAAAGAGAAATGAGTTGTCCACACAGCAAGGTTGTGTCCTATGGGGGACTAGACCAGGTATGGTGGCCAAACCGTGACTCTGAAGTGGAGCAGACTTGCAATGAATGTGAGACATGTCAGCTGGACCAAGGTTGGTTCACGAGTTCCCGGGTGAGTCCTGGAAAAGACTACACATAGACTTTGCTGGGCCTTTCCTGAGCCACATGTTTATGGTTGTGGTGGATTCACATACAAAGTGGTTGGAAGTGTCACAGATCACCTCTCAAGCTACTATTACCAGGCTCAGGAGACTGTTTCCCTCTTACGGTCTGCCTGAACAATTTGTGACCGTGCAACCACATTCAGATCTGAAGAGTTCCAGACTTTTGCCAAGCAGAATGGAATTCTGCACACGACAAGTGCACCAGGACATCCAGCAACAAATAATCTGGCAGAGAGAGATGTCCAGACGTTCAAGGCAGGTATGAAAAAGCTTGCTCACACTTCACTGAACAAGGTCAAGGTCTCACTGCTCTGGACTACGCCTAACTGCACTACTGGACAGTCCCCGGCTGATCTGCTTCTTCACAGACATATCTGGACAAGGTTGTATTTCCTAAAGCCTTATACCAAGGAGGCGGTGCGTAAGAGACAGTATCAACAGAAAGAACACCATAACGGCACTGCTGCAGACTGGTTCTTTAATGCGGACAACATCGTTTATCTGCACAGCACTGTGGCGGGGAGTCATAAGTGGATTCCAGGGTTGGTTGTGAGACAGACAGGCCCTGTGTCGTATGAAGTCAGTGAGCGGGACTCCGACACAGTACACAGACGTCATGGAGACCAGCTGCGAGCTCGAGTAATTGCTGAACCTGATATAGATGTCACGGAATCACAGGCTGAAGGTGATGGTGAAGACTGCAGCAGTTCTCAGGAAGTTGTTGACGATAACATGCAGACACCCGAGCTTCTGGAGCCCGAGCCAGTGGCTCTGAGGGGCTCAAACCGAACTGACTAAACCACCAAAGCGATATATGCCATAAGACTGTATACCCCTACAGCGGACTGTTTCTTTTAGCTTATAGTTGGATGAACAACCTGAACACATACAAGACTTATAAAGATGACAAATATTGTGTTAACTTAGGCCATATGTTGTTTTTTGTTTTTGTTAAAAGTACCAGACAACAGTTGTTCAGTTAAGAGAAACATATTTATTAATATTTCCAGAATTATATGGAATGCTTTGTTATTCTCAGTTAAAAGGGGGAATAATGTAGTATATTGATCACAATAATGTTGTATGGTTGTAATGAGAACTAATGCTTTTTGGACTTCAGTAAACACGGTCCTTTTCTAGTGGTTGTAGTGCGCATTTCCATGGCCGAATAAAGTCAACAAACGCTACCTCTGCGTTAGTCTCGTCAATACACCACACCCTATAAACTGACTACCACAGCAGGCCTACTCAGACACAGATTCTCTCCAAGTTATCCTTCAGCAGTTGTTTCTTCTATCTATGCATCATGGTATATAGGACTCACAGTGATGAACCCTCCTGTGATTTTTAGTAAATGGGAAAAACCCTTCATCATCAGTCATCACTAACAGATAGTGTAGGCTGTTTAAGGAATGAGTATTAGTATATGAGTATACTTGGAATATCTTTTCCTGGTGAACCCGACCCATGCAGCACACATGCCATCATTTACCATGATGACTTACACACTGACTCACAAAGTAAAACAATACCAGTGCCACTGTTGCAGCTGGTTACAATACAGTACAACAATACAACATAAACAAGAAATATATAAGAAGAAATTAATTTAACACAACAAATATAAAATAACAATGAAAAAACATCAGTAATGAATAGAATCAGTGGCTCAAAAAAAGACTGGTGCCACAGTTTATAAAACCTATTCTCTGAGTTTTCAGTAGTGTACCAAATTATTTAAAGTTTCAATTGGGTTTGTGTTGGCACAAAGGCAAGTGTAGCTCATGGTACCAAGGCTGAAAAGGTGTATCTAAGTTAAAATAATGAGCTTGGGGTTTATCTGTCAAATTTGAGTTCACCACTGAGGTCCAGATAATCTAATATTCATTCAGGCTGCAACAAACACTCACTCATCAACTGAGAATAAAGAAATGTGTTGCTTATTGTCTAACATACAGTATAGGCCTATATCATGAAGGCAGCTGGAGATGAAAATCTGTAGTTTGGTTCTGTTTTAGCATTTTTTTTGAAGATTCCTCATATCTGTTGTTCATGATATTGTTCTCCTATATCGGCCAGAGTATCACAATATTATAAGGACTGTCAGTCTGAGAAGGGATATACACGAGAACAAAAAACAGGTATCATTCTTGCCTGTTCCCCGCCATGATATAGAGGCTTATGCCTGTAATCCAGTAGGAATTAGAGGGAAGGGCGGCGGTATTTCATTTAGTGGTATACAGTCACTTGTTGTGGTATTAAGGATGTGAAGTCTCTCTTTTGGGCACTCAAAACGTTTACCTCACTAGTGAATAACAGTCAATGTTTCTTATGTCATCGCTGCATCTCAGAATAACATGAGGAAACGTTTGGATACTAGTTAGAATATATCCGCTGTTGTTTTTTTTTTTAAATTAGAAATAAATAAACTCAAACGTACACTATTTATTAGCTCCCAGTAAATTGGAAATGCATCATTCTGGTCAGATAAACAGACAGACAGAAGGACTTTTAACTTTTTAGGTGTTAAATATATTCAAAATAGTTTTTTCAAAGGGAAAGTAATAATCGATGTTACAGAGCATTTTGAAAATGTCAGATGTATTTTTAAAAGAGTTTTACAACTTGTTATTCTATTCAAGATGTTTGCTTACATTGTATATATATTTCACCACATTGAATATCAATTTTGCTCCTCCTTCAAATTCATTTCCCCACAGGTATCATTTGAGCTCATGTTATACTCGGATCCCCACTGATGGTTCTGATTATATTGCTTGTAATTAACAACTCCTCTTCGGTCACATGACTTGGCCAACTGAAACCAGCTTTATGTTACCAGTTATCCAGGATCACCAACGTTCTCTCCAGGCTCAATGAAACCCAAAGAGAGCCAGGTTGAGTTGAACTGGTTTTGTGATAGGGGCCTCAGATCAGTTGATTTATGACTTAGGTTTTAGTGTCCTTTGTACTGCCAGCAACCTGAAACTAAACCATTCAGATGACGTTTTCTCTCTCTCTCTCTTTCTCAGGCCCCTGACTCCGGGCGGTGTTGAGCACATAAAACTGGATAGAATAATTGCATCAGTACTAGTTGGGCACTGCGCCCCAGTCCATGTAGCTGGTCAGCCTTAGAGTGCCATGGCCACAGGAACCCACGGCCACCGTGACCACATCCTGGAGAGAGCCAAGCTTGCAGCGCCCACAGGGAGGCGCAGGAGAGCAGAGGGGAAGCCGAAAAAGAATTTCCCTTGCCTGGAGTGTCAGAAAGCTTTCAACAGTCTGGAGAAGTTGAAGGTGCACTCGTACTCTCACACAGGAGAAAGACCCTACCGCTGCTCCCACCCCGAATGCACCAAGGCATTCGTCTCCAAATACAAGCTGCTACGGTACAGACTAGCAGCAGTACATAGCAGGCTGCAGCATCTTGCTTTTCTCTTTACACCTTTTGTAAGATAGTGCTCAATAGTAATCAGAATATGTTAATGAATACTAGTTTTCAGGTCTTGTGTTTATGTGTGATGTAAAGCATGCCTACTTTAAACGTGATTGCAAAAATTCTGAGTGCTCATAGAATGTGTCTGTGTTCCAAGGCATATGGCAACTCACTCGCCAGAAAAAAACCACAAGTGTTCATACTGTGAGAAAATGTTCCACCGCAAGGATCACTTAAAGAATCACCTACACACTCACGACCCCTACAAGGAGGCATTCACCTGTCAGGAGTGTGGCAAGAGCTACAACACCAAGCTGGGCTTCAAACGCCACCTCGCCCTCCACGCCGCCAACAGTGGAGACCTCACCTGCCAAGTATGCCTGCAGCCATTCCCCAGCACTGGGGTTCTTCTGGAACACCTCAAAACACACGCTGGCAAGTCCTCTGGTGGGACCAAAGAGAAAAAGCATCGCTGCGAGCACTGTGAGCGCCGATTTTACACCCGTAAAGATGTGCGACGCCACATGGTGGTGCACACCGGACGCAAGGACTTCCTCTGTCAGTACTGTGCCCAGCGCTTCGGTAGGAAGGACCACCTGACACGTCACGTAAAGAAGAGCCACGCTCGGGAGCTGCTGAGGGTAAAAAGTGAGCCAGCTGATTCGCTGGAGCCCGTTGTCTATGACCTGCCGTCTGGGGGCATCAAGGGCGAGGTCCCGGGAATGCTGACACCAAGGCTCAACATGTACACAGGCCCCATCCTGGACACGGAGCCCTTCCCCACCACCACACACCCTTTTTCTTTTAAGTACCCACTGGGTTCCAACTTTACCTCATACACCGTTTCCTCACAGGAGCGGGAGCAGAATCTAAAGGGAGAACTGGAGACCTACCTGATGGAGCTACAGAGCAGCATGCCCTCCTCATCTTCTGCAGCCCAAGAACCCCAACTCTCCTCCTCCAAACTCGAGTTGGAGCCTCAAGTGGGCGTGCTGGAGGAAGCGAGCGATGGGGTGTCTCTGTCTAAAATGTCTACACCGATGGCAGCAGCCACCGCAGGCGACTCTCTGGCATCTTCGTCTTCTCTGATGGACTTCTCACAGCTCTTCAACTTCCTGCCACTCAACGGGCCCCCGTACAACCAGGCAGGGGGCAGCGGGGGGCAGGGCATTGCCTATCCACCCAATGAAGTGCCCACACCTCTCGTCCAGCTGCCCCTCCAGCCTCCAGAAGGCCCAGAGGCTGCAGAGAGTCCGCTTCAAAGGCTCCCCTCCTCCTTCATATCCAACCTGAGCACACCCACCACACTGCCCCGCTTCCACCAAGCTTTTCAGTGATCCAGTATGTACTGCGCATGGCACACATGCACTCTAACACACGCATAGTGACACACATGTTGAGCTACACAACCTCCCCAGCAGACACCAACAAGATGCTAGCAATACATGTTTGAAGATATAAGCACTTCTGTCCATTGAATGACAACATGAGCAGATATAAACACATGCAGCAAACACATAATGATCAGCACTGAGAGCAGCACACACACACACACGGTTTGGCTCAATCAGCTTTCTAATTGCTACTGTTGAGATGTGTTCTTTTCACCTAATAAGCTTTTAATTGACGAGTTGGCAAATCTTCTCCACCTCTACTCCCTTATGACAGGTTCACTTAATAGCAGAACAATTATTTTCTTGTGCTGTGTGGGTATGCAAATACAATACCCAATTTCTCAATCTTGTTCTATGTACAAGTTTTGTAACCTAACATTAGCTGATGTGATTACCAAGAGAAATTACTTTTTCAAAGAGAACATTTTTCATAAACACCTTTTAACTGAGCACAAGCAGTAGAATTCACTGCAAACACGCCACATTCACATTAATGGAGCAAAAACATTTTTTCCGCAATAATGTAAAGGTGGCTTAACTGTGACTGTGAGAGCTGTGTCACTTTAAACATGAATTCTTTTGAGAGTTGGAGAATTTCCATATAGATGAATACTAATAGTAATTAGATTGCAGTGACTTATTCTTTCCTTTACTTAACCCCCGTGCTTTGAATAGATAGTCCTAAGGAAGCAGTTTTTGCGATTGATACAGCACTTTGAACATTGTGATGTCGTCTGTCATCGCAGTTGACCTTTGTTTTATCTCTTTCTTATTTGTGGTAGGGACCAAACAGTAGTTTGGGTATGTTTTCGATATTTGGGAAAATTCAATATAAATTTGTCAAACATACTTTTAAGGATTTTTATCAGAAAGTGAATTTAGTAAATAGGTTAAAACATTGATCTGGTTCTTTTGATCAATCCATAAAGCAGAAGTTCATTGACATGATTATAGACAAGGGAACTACTGAGCAACAGTATCACAGTGAAACATTTCATTGGTTGGTCAAGTTTGATCTTAATTCTGCAACAGTGGGGGCTTTTTCAATGAGAGCTTACACGTCTTTGGAGTTTCTTAGTTATCACCCAACACCAAACCAAAGACTGCCCAACCCACTGCTGCAACATTACTGTCGACTGTTCAGGTATTAGTGTTTTTCAACATAGAGACTTAATTGACACCAAAGGCTGTCAATCTCTAATTTCGCCCCTAAACACCCTCTCCACCACAAACGCACAGCATCCCCACCAACAAGGCATCTGGATGTCTTATAACTGCGATTCCACACAAACACACCTAGACATCACTGTTGATGAGCCTTACCCAGCGAGCTCGCTGAAATGATGCCTGTCAACCTCGCAGTGGAGTTCTCTTTACTTAAGGCTCAGTGTGTCATTTCTGATGGTTTTGCTACTGAGCTGTTGCACTCTCCTCTTGCTTGTGCCTTATTTTTTATCATCAAACTTTTTCGGTGGGAGTAGATGACACTGTTTGTGACTGAAACAAAAAATATTAGTTGTTGATTGAATGCAGAAAGCTGATTTAACATCCGGAAATTATTACTTTTGAAGTGTTTATATGGTACCTAGTACCATTTTATTTCATGTGTCATAAAAGGTCGTTGCAGTGGTGGTATAAAAAAGTGAACCATAAAAATTCAAATTGGGATCTTTAAAACTGATTGGAAACTTGTTTCAAAAAGATTCTCCATAGTTTTATTAATATTTTAATGACGTGTTATCATCTAGGATGATCTACTCAAATTTAAACATTTACTAGTTAAGAAAACAAAGTTTTACAACGCACACCACCAATATGCGCATTCAAAGCGAAAATAGCATTTGTCAGATTAATGGCAAATACAACGTGCTACAAAGGTGCTCTGTTTACTGAATATTCCAGCCACTCTCTGTCTTTGAACCCAGACCAAGGTACAACAGTAATATCAAACTGTTCAGATAAATGACACAGCCCCGGTCACAGCTGGACTCGCTTCACATTTTAGCTACATAGAAAGTTATCTGGACAGTGTTGTTTGCTAGCACATAGCCTATATAACATTAAAACACATATCAACAAACATTATTATTCTAAAAAGTGAAATGATTTCTTTAAGGAGTTGTCTGTGCTTGATGGAGAATACTTTAATTAAAATCAATTCCTAAAAGTATTTCGAGAATGTTTCAGCCAGTAAACTCTTTATCTAGACAGTAATCTGGCACAATGTTGGCTACGAAACACGCTGCTGTCGCTCCGCTCTTTCATTTAGTTTTGTGATCTTCGAAGCATGCAGATTTACTTGAGCTGTCGTCCCTTCAACCTCCCTTGTCTCAGCACTTCCTCTCCTCCTCTCTCACACGTTACTATCTTACTCTCCTTGCTGTGTATCCTCTTCCCTTGCTATAGCTAAATGCAAAAAAAGTATTTTCTGGCATGCATTTCCAAATGATACATTGGTTGTTGTTCAAATATACTGATTATTTTGGTAACTATAAAACATACGACAGCCCCAGTTAAATAGACAACCTGCTGCCCATCACATGATTGCATTAATTAAACAAGAGATATTCTAAAGTGTTGCTATACCACAATGCTGACATGGCTTTTCTCTTTTTGCCCTTTATAGAATCAGCTGGCGAAAGTTTATGAAAGCTAGCATTAGCTTTGAGTACAGCACGCTATATAATTAGTTAAATTGGTTTACCATTTTAACAAAGATGTGAAAATGGTAAAAGGGACAAATGCCTACCTCGAAAATAATGGCAAGTGTTTTTTCTGCACTTGATTGAAATATACCAAGCAACAAAGGTTTACCGACCTTGTGCTCCAATGTCCTGTGTCTGGAACAAACCTGGGCAAATCAGCTGGCACACTATCTTCTGCCAGTAGGTCAGTTTCAGACAAGGATTTATATCTGAAATATTTGATATAAAATACAAAACAATTTCTATCCAATCCATCAAGAACAAAGTACAAAAATCCTAATTACCTAATTAATAGTATTTAAATACATTCATCTGAAATAATACCTATCCCTGAATCTATATGAAGTCAATGTAACATTTTGTAAAATCTACCCAGATAGTCTGAGAAGTGTCCAATAGAATGGAGGTGAAAGGTTCTCAAAGTTCTGAACAATTCATTCCAGTATCTTCACACTTAGAAACGGATTTTTTTCCATGTTAGATGATTCATCCAGTGCCAATACAGGAAGTAGTGTGCCCTGTATGTTGAGCAACAACTTGGATTAGCATGTAGCTTGTCTGACAGGACACAGGAGCTTGAGTTCTATCACAGACAAGCAAGAGGCCTTTTAATTAAAGTGCCCATGTTCTAACCTTGAGCAGCCTCGCAGAGAGAATAATTTAAAAAAAGCATTAGATGTTAAAAAAAAAATCATTGGATGTGATCTGGGGTTTCACAGAATCGAATAATATCAGCAGTCTTGTCAGCTTTAGGATTGGGAAAATGACATGAAAAAAAAACCAACACTAACGTATCGGATAATCAGTATCATATAAATAACCGTTTTCATTTACAAAAATGTCAGTTATCAGTGACAACTACTGGCACTCCATTAACATTAGAAAAACATGCTGCGGTTGAATTTCTCAAATTGTTTAAAAGTTTTGACTGCTCCATAAAGCAAATCATATGTACCTCCATTGTACTGGTGTAGCCATACAAATGAAACCAAAACTATCTTCATACCACTTGAGGGAATGGAACAAAAAAAAAAACATACAAAATTGAAATACAATCAATCTTTTTTGAAGGACACGATGTTTTAGTGTGAAAACATTTGTGATTCTTATCATACAAATTATTTTTTCTCTTTTCTTCCTCTTCCAACCCAACCATCAAGAGGAATGCTTCTCAGCATTTTCTGAGGCTTTTGTTCATTGAGAGCTTCAGTTGTGTGTAGCAAGGCTCCACTCAGCATGGCATTTACTGCTAACCAAACAGCTCACAAGTAGGGAGGAGAATCAGTGCCTCAATCAGTCCACACAGACCGTACAGCATGAAGTCATGCACACCAGTCAGGATGAAATCATACATTGTAATCAGAAGTTGTGCCTTATTTTCATGCAATACACATAACAGATCAGTTGTTTGGTCTGATTCAAAGATGAAAAAATGGAACAAATACTGGCTGCTTTGGATCAGATGCTCATCCGTGACAGGTCCATGACAGAAACATTTCACACGGTTCCAGCATTTCCTCAGACATGTGCTGAATGAGTCACAAAACATCTATAGTTTTTGAATGTTCATTAAAAACATGTAGAGATTAGATACAGAATACATCTGTGATAACAAATGGGCTATTAGCAGAGATATTTTTACTAACACAATGCCAAGTGAATCATAGTAAACTAGAGTTAGTACTTGTGCTTTGACATGACACAAGCAACTGTCATTACCTCTTTTGGCAGTTACTCAGTTTGGTTTAGCCTCATTTGTGACCTCAGCACCCCCACTAAGGGTTGCATTCCCTCTGCAAACCTTAGTGGAAAATCCAAAACTTTCTCTATTTCTCATTCTGCGCTGACGATAAAGATCTGTGAGATGATCACAAAAATACATTCAAAGTTGACACCTGCTGCTGGAAAAGACATTTCATTTATCTTTTCACGCATTTTTCCAATACGGTTTGTGTATTAAATCCAAATCCTGATCTAACATACAGGATACTATGGAAACAAAGCGGGCTGTCTTCGGGTTAGTTGTCCCACTCCAACAGCTAATGCTAGAGTTTATGACTGTAGTCTAGTTTCTAAATAATCTAGAGCTAGCGACCATTAGCCAGCAAAGTAGGGCTGGGTATCAACTGAAATATGTGCTGATCAAAGGTGTGATCAGATCCACAACCTTGTTGATTTCTTCTTTGTCCCAATAGTTTCTGTTTTAAATCCATATTTTGATTAAAAGCTGAGGGCAAACAGACACCTATTCTAGTCGCTGGCATACATTAAAGAAACAAATCAATGGGAAAGATCCACACTCATAACTCGGCCAATTCTAGACTGTATTTTACTTTTACAAAGTCCATGTTCGGCTGCTTATCTTTGGAAAACATTTGGCTTTTAAAATTCATCATGTCAAGTGAATAAACTCATAAAAACTCAATCTGCTGATGAAGGCCGTGAGATGCAGTTTAAAGGGCAGCACAGAATAGGGAACACTATTTTGTCAAACTACTGTTCCCTTGGAATATTGTTTTGTTTACAGTATCAAAACTCTGGTATCACACTGACACATATTAAAAAATATCAATCAATAACCAGCCCTATCGTGATGATAGCTGATTTATATCATTTCATAAAAGAAAGATGACATATTTCATCTGTAGAACAGACATCATTTTGGACACTTTCAAGAGACATTGGACTGCACACAGATGTGGCATAAATGTGAACTTAACAACCTGGACCCTTTCTCTTCCACCACAGCAGTTATCAGATGGTGCATCCTAGTTCCATGAAATGTTTGATGCATATATATAACCCAATAGTATTATCATTTACCTCACATAGTCGTATTGTTTTTGTGCTCTGAAATTCAAAAATAGAAGTGTTAAATACTCCATTTCCCCTGATGAGACATGAATGGACACAATATTGTTCTTAGTTATGTGAAATGTAGAGTTGAATGTGTGATATTTCAAAGCATTTATGGAAGTTTGCTATTTGTATCTTGTGAAGGTTTGTGGTTTTACAAGAAATGTTAGCGAGCCGCTTTTTTTTTTTATTTTTTATCATAGCACTTTTTGTAAATTGAATACCTTTTATTTCCTCCAATACTTTTTGTTTAAAACCTTTATTACAAATGTATAGATTATATATTTAGCTCTTTTAGAGAACAATAACATGTAAATACAATATAAAATGTTTTATTTTTACAGGTACAATTTTGACAGTGTTTTTCCTATCAAAGTGTCATTTTTGCTTTACTTGCACAAGTGTTCTGTGTATCTCATTGAGGGGTCTTTTAACAAACATTGTACCTTAAACACAGATTTTTGTTGGCCTGGTTTTTCAGAGGGCCTTCTTTAAATATTCAAGTGTTGGTTTAGGTGAGAGCACAAGCGATAATGAAGCTTGGATGGACGGTTCTATAGCACTTAATTCTATCATCCTTTCATGGGTTGTTAAGAAAGACAAACAAGATATACTGTATGTTCACTAACTCGTGGGTGATTTTGTCCTCTTCTATCATCCTTTGACCTCAGTGTGACATGAAAAATATGACTTGATTTCTTAGTGGTTTCTGCCTGAAAGCTGTTAGATGACAACAAATTTTCCAATCGGCTAACTGCATCATCAACTTGATGCATAACTCGTATGACAGAATCCAGGCATTTGATGTGGAGAGTATGAAAGCAATAAACTGTGGATCGCAGTTGAGAAAAACAACTACATTGGAGAAAGTAGATCCACATTTCAGCTCACAATTCTAAAACTAATCTAAACTTTCCTGTGAAAAAGAAATGATAAAAACAGAAAATCTCCCACAGTCGTGTGGTGACCAGGAGACGCTCTTCAGTGAGAGGCACAGACCTTCAGCAATTCATGTCAATCTTCTTTATAAGCTTCAGTGGTACCAGTAAACTTTATTGAATGTGTATGTAAGAAACACTGCAATACTGCAATACATATTTTGGTATTGGATCAAGCTGCTAACATACTTCTAAAGCTCCTTAAGGTGCGACAGACCTCTTTTCTAGTTCTTTAATGTATCGTTTGTACAAACAAAGTATCCAGTTTAGCTGAACAGTTGGCGTGTGTGCCTGGTTGTACCATATAGCTACATATATTTTATTGTACTGTGACTTTTGTAGTCTTTTTACAGACTTGCCTGTAATATCACATGCCTCCCTCATGCCCTCTCCACCTGTGTGTTGTGATATTGGGACACTGAGTCATGGTGGGAGATTGTTCTGAGTGAAGTCACTCTGCAGAGATGAAGACGTCGGTGCTGACGCTGACAAACACGCCTCCACGTGATGCCGTTCAAATGAGCTGAGGAAGTTCAGAAACGAACTGCATTCCAGCCATGTTGGTTTTGTTATACGTTGCATTTCATTAATGCCATCCTGTGACAATGATGGACTCATTGATACTTCTCAATATTTTACTTCAAATCTATTTTACAAACTACTGTTGTATTTTTATAAATATAGGCAAAGTTATTCACATAAACATATATGTATATATATAAGTAAATATATATGTATATGTTTATAGGTTGTAAAATAAAAATGAATGCTGCAGCATTTATCTGTTGTTTTTTTAAACATTGACATCATCCAAAGAGGCAGATTATTTATTGTCTGGCAGAATAACCTGATTTGATTTACATACCTTGCTGCTATGAGATGAAAGAACTGCAGTTGTCAACTCGTGTTTTTACACAATGAAAGTTCAATAAACGTAAGAGAAGGATCCCACTGCAGCTCTGTTTGGTCATTCCTAAAAAAAATGTGTCATTCACTATGATTTTGTCTTCTTTTTGTGTAAATTGGTGGTTCTGTCCTCATGTCACATGAGCCCACATGGAGTCACTTTCATTACACTGAGACCCAGATATTGCCAACCTTTAAAGTCAAATTTCAAAGAGAAGAGTCTACAGCATTTTGGCCGCGTATCAAACAGATGATCACCAGCTTTGACAAACATTTTACAGTTTTCATAAGATCAGTAATTCCACCTTCAGTTATGTTGACATGATAAAGTCTCTTCCACACAAGTTGCAGCCTCATAGTAGGTGTCGCTGTTCTGACGTGCCCAATGTGTAATCAGGATAACGCACGGGGACAGTTGCTACAGTAACCACGATACTATACCTGACTAATGTTTCACATCTTCTATTGTTTCATATTGTTGATATTTTTGAAACAGGTGTTTGCGGCGGTGACTGTCCCTTTGCTTCACTGTCGTTTCCCTTCCGTCTGTGGATTGACAAACTGGGCTCATCAAGACCAACTGCCTGACAAAAGACAAAGAATATTAATACTTTTATGCAGGAATTATTGACCTATGGAGGGGACCTCTATCCGGCAGGCAGAGATCATAACCATTTTTCTACCCCACACCATTCATTGATATTTCAAACCATAGCTCTATCTTACTATCAATTTAAACCAAAAATCCAGAAAGACTTTATGGAAGCTTAATTTAAGTGTACTTGAAAGCCCGCTAATCAAAGAAGCACTAGAGGAGGACATTCAAGTCTATCTGGAATATATGGGCTCTGATTATGGGGAGGTGGAGCTTATACTGAACCATAGTATATACGTAGCAGTGGTTCTCAAACTTTTTCTGTCACGCCCCACTTTGGAGGAAGAAAAATGTTCATGCCCCACCACCCCAACAAAATTGTAACAAAATGGTCCATGTTGAACTTTTATTGAAATAACAACATTGTGTGACTCCTCCATCTGTGCTTTTTCAAATAATAGAATAAAGAAAATTGCAATCACTTTCAAGTAAACCAGATTGCTCCATCAGACAAAAACAAACACAATGTGCAATCACTTTGTTAGAACAATGCAAATACAGTTCAATCTGTGCAAAAAAATAACTAATATTTGGCAAAAAATAGCTTATTGTGGCTGAAATTAACCTGTTTTGCACTGAATATCTTTCTAAGATAATAACAATAAAGTACAACCTGTGAAAAACTAAACAAAACAAGTTCAAATATTTGGCAATAAAGAGTTTTACTGAGTTTTACACTGCATATCTTTTCAAAACAACAATAACGTGCAACCTGTGCAAAACAAAATGAGTGCAGATATGTGTGAGCCATATGCTCACACATATTTTATTTTAAATATGAGCTTTAAAATGTAGCATTCTAAAAGTAAAATAATAGCTGTGATAATAGCTGTGATAATAATAATAGCTGCACGTGGGACTGTTGGGACTGTTGGTACACTGGTTGTGGTCATCACAGTGAACAGTGAGATGAGAGGACATGTGAGCCCTTGTTGCTGTAGTTCATCTCCTTGGAGCAGAGGCTGCATTTAGCATAGCCTGCCTTATCAATGTATTTAAAACACTGTGACAGCAGGAAGCTGTACTCACGTCTGTTTATCCAGGCCCAGCTCCACTCACAGCTCAGCCCTGCGTCAAGCTGCGCTACACGAACAGCTTCCTCCCCCTGAAGCTCTTTGACCTCATCATCTCATCAGTATCTGGGCCTCATCATTGTGGTCATGAAAGTTATTCTGACAACGAAATCATCCTCATTCTACTTTGAGTTAAAACAAACAACCTGCAACCAGATGTGCCGGTGTTCCGGTTTAATGTTAACGAGTGACCGCGTGAACTGAACCGGAACACTTTAACGGTGGGAAATTAAGACGCTGTACACATCTGAACGCTGATTGGCCAAGACTCGACATATCACATCAGAGATGTTTTATTGTGAAGATCACAACATCACTTTTTCTCCTTATCTCACTCCAATCTGAGAAACGCTGGCTGGCCAGTTGACACCACCCCCCCCAAAAAAAAAAGCCTCTACGGATCTACACGTTTCACGTGGATGATATATTTTGATTCAAAACGGCGAATTTCAAGTTTGTATGAATAAAGTTCTTGAAATAAAAAAATTCTGCATTTCCCCCTGCGCCCCACCTGCAATACCGTCGCACCCCACTAGAGGGGCGCGCCCCACAGTTTGAGAACCACTGGTATATAGTATAGTGAACCATACTGTGGGATGCATTCAAGGTGAGGGGAAATATTATAGTAATTAATAGTTAAAAATCAGATTGATGAACTATAAAAACTGAAAATGTAATAGAAACCTGTTTTGCTCTAACATAAATATTGGGAAGTCAGTGACAAAGTAGGTTATCATCTTATGAATTAAATAAAACACAGGCAGATGGTGCTCTTTACAAAATGAATAATATTAAGACGAAGGGGATTGAACACAAACAGGAGAAGATTCAACAGTGTTTGCTGTCATTCTATTTAAAACTGTATCCTCAACAACAGCTTGACAATGACTCACAGACACTTTTTTATATTTACTCCACCTCCATCTGTGGTAGACGTAAACATTTGTTTAATTTTTTTACTAAATGTAGATTATCAAATGCTCTCATACGTTATAGCAAGGAGGTTTGAAAAGTGCCTGCAATATCTCCAAAACAGAAGCTGGGGTTATTTGCATGACATTTTTTTATAAATGTGCAACTTTTGTGTTGTCCAGAAGAAACGGGTTCAATGTCTGGCTATTCTATTATTTGATCAAAGACACAAGTCATGAGTTTTAATTACGAACCAACTAGAGATATTATCAAAAAATACAGTGATGGGATCCTGATTCAATCAAATATTTGCCAAAGAAACCCATCAAAACCCATTTCTATCCATTCTCTATTCCACTGTTCACATTTACAGAGGGCTGGGAGCTATCCCAACATGAAAGGTCACAAGTCTGATAAGTAATGTGTACAAAGCTCTAGTTGTCCCTGCATCAAATTTCAACTGAGCCAGGCTGTATTTGATGCTGAAGGCCAACTCCTTCCTGCTCTCACTGTGGTCTGTTGCCTTTACGTTCATGCTTCTCTCACTTTATGATGCGTGTCTGCTTGGAAAGTTCAGAATTGATATGTACTAGTTCAGGTTGTAATCAATCAATCCTGGACAGAGACACGGCAAAGGATCTCGCAAGTCGATTCTGTTCTTTGGATCAGACAAGGAGGTCAACATGACCGTAAGGGAACAGAAGAAAAAATAATTAATACAGGTTTCCATGAACAGACTGATGGATGATGCAGCCCATTATGAGCTATCTTGTGTTATAATCTCCATCTTACACTGAAGTGGTGTTTAGAATGTGATCATCTGTTCCTGCATGCTGGAAAGGTCTGAGTGAAAAACACTGAAAAGGACAAACTCAAGCTCTGAGCTGTGTAACAGGCTCCTCGGTGGAGCTCCCTCCCCCAAGCCTCATGCTCAATCCACTGAGTCAAATGTGTTCGTGTGCACTTCTAAAACTGGACACTGCACTAAAGTGCCCAGCTGTCAAGCTGCTAATTATGGTATGCACACATGCAGTAGTTACTTTTTGACACAAATACATATTATTGCGCTTTAATACCACAGGATGCAAAAAAGTGTGTCATTTTACCCCGCCCTCCCCTACTACGGAGAGCGTAAACTGAGTTGAACCATCTGGGTGAACCCGTTGAACCCAAACAGAGCGCATTACATACTCCTCAACACTAAGTGGCGGTGTGACTGGCTGGCAGGTTTTTTTGTGTGTGTCAGTGCTGAAAAGCTTTGAGACGACACAGCTGCTCACCAGTCAGCAGCAGACTTCAAGCTGCACACACACAGCGAGCCTCCACTCCACACGATGCCCTCTCCAATCCCCGTGACCCGCCTGCTGCCCAAAGATATCCTCCCGAGCCTGGACTTCGGGACCTGCAGCAGTCCGCTAACCAAGTACTCCTTCGGTACCACCTTACAAGTCCCGGTTCAGAGACTCCACGGCAAAGTTGCCAGCCGGCTCTGGTCCACTGTGATACACTGGAAGGAACTGCGCGCCCTGCAGCCTGTGGGTTCCGGAGGGTTCGGCTCCGTCTATAAGGCAGAGTACCTCGGGGACACCGTCGCGCTGAAGAGAGTCAAGAAGTGCACGAAGAACAAGCTGGCGTCCCGGCAGAGCTTCTGGGCCGAGCTGAACGCAGCACACCTGCGCCACCGAAACATCGTGCGCGTCATCGCGGCGACCACCTGCGTACCGTCGGATTTTGGAGACGAAAGCAGCATTGGAACAATACTGATGGAGTTTGTGGGGAACATGAATCTGCAGCAGGTCATTTACGGGTGTGCAGAGCCGCTGGGGGAGGACAGGTGGCTCCGGTACTCTACAGACATTGTCCGCGGCTTGCGGTTCCTTCACTCCCACAGCGTTGTGCATCTGGACATAAAACCAGCCAACGTATTGGTGTCCAGTGAAGACGTCTGCAAAATTGCAGATTTCGGCTGTTCTCTCAAACTGGAAGATGGATGTGAAGTGAGCTCCATCAGCCCCCATCTGAGCCACGTTGGCGGCACGTACACGCACAGAGCTCCGGAACTGCTGAAGGGCGAGGGGCTGACTCCTAAAGCGGATATCTTTTCTTTCGGGATCACCTTGTGGCAGCTGATCACCAGAGAGCAGCCATACACCGGTGACCGGCAGCACGTGCTCTACGCGGTTGTGGCGCACAGCCTGCGTCCATCTGTTCAGGACCATCCGGTGTTTCGGTCGGAAAAGGGGCAGCTGTGTAGGACTTTGCTGAGCCGGTGCTGGAGCGCAGAGGGCCGCTGCAGACCCAGTGCCGAGGAGCTGCTGCCTCATCTGGAGCAGCTGCGCTCCCAGGTGTGACTGAGTTTTCTAACTGGTGCACAGATGTGCTGACAGCTGTGGGTATCATTACATGGACATGTTTTGCAGATTTACTATTGGTGTCTTGAAAAAAAGGCAGATCACTCCTTAGTTTAAAGCAAACCATCTTTGACTGAAGGAGTTGGTCTACATACTTGTGTCCTTATTTCAACTTCATGGCAGAAGTTCTTGACTTGATGAGAGAAAATCAACTTTTTAAAAGTACGTTGTAGAGTCACTGTCGGTTAAAGTCAAGGCTACAATTAGTCAGAACACTGCATATTACTGGTCCCTCTAAATACAAACTAATGTTTTAAAGTTCATTTAGTCCTGCACTGCATAACACTTCATTGTTTCATTTGACAACTCAAACAATCCACTAAGTTACTGTGAGAGTTTTGTTTTAGCAAGTTTTCTTAAAATATGGAATCAGTGTTTGAGTTTTACTTGCCATGCTGAGATTGTATTGTGAGATTTAAGTGTGATTAAGTTTCATTAAAATTATTTTTATACTATTTATTGTGCTTCTCAGCTCTTCCTCACCCCATGCTTACAGGTCAACGGTTTGTCTGAGGGCTCGCATGTATAGAGATTCATTTACACCCATTCATTTTAGAGATTCTGTTTAACCAGAGCTGCTCTCAAACTGAGGAAACATCACAGGCATGTGAGGAACACAAAATGTCTTTTAGATGAGCTCTACCTTCCTTATATCACGATGACTTGAAGTAAACAATCACACGAACATTTTTCAAAAAAGCCCTTTAACTGCTATTTGGATCAGCAGAGCCCTGTTCTATCTGCTTCATGTTTCACTTCACTTATCCGCACAACTCAGCTTCTTGAAACGGGCACGATGGTCATACATGTTTAATTGTTGGGTCAACCTAAAAGTTTAACATTTCAATAAAACGTTCACCAGTAAGTTTCTATATTTAGAAGAAGCTTAATTGTTGTTTTACATCCTGGACAATGAAAATATACAAAAACTTTACAATGAATGTGTTTATATAAAACATTAGGGAGAATCAAATGTACATGTGAACATTTTAAATCCATCATGTTTAGAATTGGATGACTTCATCGTGTTCACGTTGTGTGGGTGTTGAGACACTTGTCTTTTATATCGGCTTGGCATCAGATATTTGCTCAATCTTTTATTTGTTCAAAAGTGTACGTCCTCCCCCTGAGTCAATGTTGAAACACAGCCACCTGCTGGTCACGGACTAAAGACAGAGACCTGTCCTAACTTTTATGAATGTTACTGTATGGCCGCGCAAGCTGATATAAAGGACCCTGTGTGTGTTTTTATGTTTCTTTGACTAATAAGTCAAAGTTTAGGACCATTCTGAAGACTATTTGTTAGAAGTTGTAAACGTAGTGGCTCAGGTCCACATTGGAGACGGGATGTCTGGGTAGGGGAAGAAATGGTCATTTAATAGAAGAAATATTACAGTCGGTTGACTCAGCATGAACGTTATCTGAGAGCTAGATGCTGCACTGCCCCTTCAAATATCAAATCAACCTTTCCTTTATCTTTCTTGCAACTGCTTCACAAAATATCTTCAGTAGACACACGCACACAATTAAATGAGTGGACAACAGATTACAGGTTAATGTGCTACATATGTGAGACAGTTGTATAGGGTACAGTGCATTGAAGTGCTGCATGGAGACTGCAAGGAAAAGTCAACCAATAGTGTTAGGAATGAAAAAGAAACCAGATTCCTCATTTGGTTGTATAATGGGCGTGGCTAAGTCTGCTCTAGATATTGTTTTGATAAAAAAAGCCACATCTTTATCCTCTCAGTAAGTTTATAGCATATTTTTTTATTGAAATATTTATCTTGTTCTTATGAGCAGCAGTGATTGAATACAAGTTAGTATCACTTACAATCACTGCAGGCATGACAGAATTGTACCGTGAATAACCGTTACTGGAAACACCAATCATGACCGGACAACTAACATTCTGCTGTTTGTTAGAGAACCAGACGACAAACACATCTTACTGTCACTTTATAATAATACTGATACCAACATAATAATCATGGAGAGCAAAGAGAGTCTACTGATCTATAATTCTCACTTTTCAATGAATGCCGTACGTTTGACAGCCTGTAGAATTATTGTATTTAAGTGAAGGGGGCTTAGACATTACTGCAACCTCTGAGCTGGTTGTGCTTTAATTAAAGATCAATTATATTTGAATAATGAGAGACCCAATGCACCCCTGTCTTGTGACTACAAATAGTTTGATCATGTCAGTGTCTTGCTGGCAATTCAATTCAAGTTTTCTTTCCCATAATTCAGATGCATTTCTGCCAAATGTGTTGCTACACTTGAGATTCAGTGATTGTTTTTTGGCACATAGTTGTCTTTAGCTTTACCTCAACTAACGCGTGGAAAACACAGTGTTCCGTTAGTGGTGGCTCATTCACTGTGTGGAAATGACTCCATGATCAGAGTTGAATCCAGAGTAAAGGGACTGAGTTGGTCACTGGTCTATCCAGGTCCTGGTGAACTCATTGGCAAGATAAAGACTAGTGTAAACAAAATACTTCCTGCATTGCAGCCACTGCTTTTTGGACATTTCAGTCCAGTTTGAAACTAAACCAGTAGATCTGACATGCCTGAGATCGATGGTCCATCACAGTGAACCTTCCTGTTACCAATACATTACTGCTGCATGGTAAAGCAAGTGTTGTGACTTAGAGCATCACTAGATTTGATAATGAACATGGGTGCTGTGTACAGGGTAGAGCTGTACAGTGTGTCTGTGTTTTTTTTGTTGAGTTGCAGGTGATTGGACTGGAGACTGATTCGGCCTGAGATAAGAAGGAACCTGTGGAGGCCGGCTCCTTTCTCTCCAGCTCTCAACCAGGCCACGCTGCACAAGAGGGGGTCGCTATCCTACCGATCGGATTGGCCAATCGTAGAATATAGCCCAGGGGTGTCCAAACTTTTTTCAAAGAGGGCCAGATTTGATAATGTGAAAATGCCCAAGGGCCAACAGTCCCTGCTGACATTATTTTAAACAATACAAGTAGCCTATACATACATTGTTATTTAATCATTTTATTTTCAATGACAGCAAATAGCAATGTAACCAAATGTAAGCAGCTATAATCACTATTTTAAAGTGATTAGTGACTCGTCTAAAACATTTAAAAAAAGGAATAACTTCAACAGAATGATTCTATACACTGTAGCTTCTTTACATTCTAATAGAATGTAAAGAAGTTACATTGTATCAGAATGTAACTTCTTTACATTCTAATAGAATGTAAAGAAGCTACAGTGTTGCTTTTTCTTCCCACAAGAACGTAATTTTGTCAGGTTGATAAAAAAAAGTCACTTTACTTCCTGACATTATTGTTACTTTACCGCAGGGGTGTCAGATAACACAAAGAACAAGCAATCTAAAAGCTAATTACATAGAAACCGATCAATATTCTCACCTCAAGACAATCTTAAATATGACTTAGTGAGGGTAATGAAAAGTTGTCTCACATTTAAGTTCAACACACATGAAACCAGCTAACGAAAAAAACTCGGTCTTCTTCTCGGGGCAAATATGTTTTCCGCTATTTTCATAACACAGTCTTTGATAAACTCACCTTTCGTAAAAGGTTTGTCATGTTTAGCAATTGCCATGGCCACTTCGTAGCTTACTTTGATGATGTTTTCATGTGAAAAGGACCGCTGCTGTGTGGCCAAGTTATCTTGGAGTTGCTTCACTTTTCTAGCACGGTCGCTCTCTGATAGCTTGTTGTAGCATTAGCATGTTTGGTCTCGTAGTGTCTCTTTACATTATATTCCTTAAACAAGGCAACAGTCTCATGACTAATTAGGCAGACACAGTTGTTTCGGTTTTCGGTGAAAAAAATATTGCGATCTCCACCTCTCCTGGAAGCGGCGGCCCTCATTATCGACTTTCCTTTTTTTACTTGCCGTAGCCATGACAGTTCAAGGGTCAGAGCCAATTTCAAACAGCCAGACAGTTACAGAGTGGTGCTGCCACCATGAGGTAAAAAGAGGAATTGCATGTTGAATTTGTATGATTTATTCATTCCGTTTTGACTGTGCTGGCGGGCCATAAATAATGCATTTTAATACAGAAGGTGCGGGCCATATAAAATCTGACCTCGGGCCGTGATTGGCCCGCGGGCCGGACTTTGGACATGCCTGATATAGCCTAAGGGGCTCACCCTGACGCTTATTGCTACCACAACTGTTTCAATAAATAAATATTATGGACTGTATGGCAGCAGCACTGGCCATTATTGGGAGTGGGGGAGAGAGGGAGACCCATCGTTATGCTGCGCTCAGGTTTCCCTAGACTGGGTGTAACATCAGGGAAAGAATGGTATATAAATAATATATACTGTATTATACTATAATAATACCTGCTGTGTGTGAAACAAAAAGAAAGAATCTAAATCAACGTCACACGGATATGATTGATTAGAGCATGCCACTGTATGAAGAGGTACAGTAATACAGACCTGGCACACAGGACACGGATAATACAAACTAGTGACTGCCTTGTAAATAAATTAGTTCTTCTTTACCATTTGCACAGTGTTCTGTGTTGTGAGCTGTAAGAATAAAAACCCGATTGAAAAGCAATTTGTATTTTATGAAATGTACCAACCTATCAACAGAAATACTGCACATAATTAAAGGGGTACTACAGCAATTTAGTATTGAACGTCCATTGGATTTAGAAAAAAAAAAAGTCCATAAATCTGTGCAGAAGAAGCCCTGATGTCAAACCTCTGGACCCTCCACTTCCAATAATGGCATTCTGGGGTGTGTTTTCATGAGACCACCCCTGCCTGTAAACACCCACATCTTTAAAAGGCTTCCTGCAAAACATCTGTATTCTCCATCCTCCTTGACATCACTATGACATCATCAGGGTTATGTTCCTGGACTTGACAAATTCAGAGCCACAGAAGACATTGTGCAAGTGTTCTAACAGACTGAGCTAGTCCATCTTAAAGTACCGATGTGTATTGTCTGCCAGAACACAAGGACAGAAATAAAGTATTGGTGGAGAATATTCCATTTTACAATTTAGATGGACAAACATAACACAACAGTCATACAAGGTCCGTAGTGATAGTGAATAGTAACAGCTAATAAGTACACAATTCACAAAAACTGTTCACAGATACAAAGTAAGAATAATATAATCATTGCTTCAATAAAACAACTAACTATGACAGCATATGTGAATACCCCAATAAAGGAGCAAATCACATGATGGTAACTCTCTCAGGTGAAACGTGGGCAGCCGAGCCCACTGGCTCCAGGCGATGGCAGCGGTAGTGACTGCTGTCCACGCCCCGGCGGATCTGGTGAAGCTTGCGGGCCACACAGGGGAGCAGCATCAGCACCTTCCCAAGTATGACACACACTGGCAGGGCCAGGGCCACTACGAAGCTGGGGGGCAGGTAGAAACGGTAGGCTTCCTCCTCAAAGGCTCGCTTCCAGCCAAACAGCAGGCCGTGGAAGGTAGCGATGAGCAGAGCGATGTAGCCCAGTGTGGACTGTAGCAAAGACGGGAAGAGTCATGATGGTACATACATACAGCAAATACTAATAATAGTACACATCTTCTTAGATTACATTTTCTGAGGATATTCATTATTAGAAGTCATAGAAAAAAAGACTCCCGTTATTACCCTAGAACTTGTGAAGTATTCTTCGGTATCTAAGTAATTCAGTGTCAGTGTTTGTACCTGTATGAAGCTGAACTCCCTCCAGTTGAGTGTGCTGTGGACAGAGGGAATGGAGGTGATGGCCAGGAGCGACAGCAGCCCAAGACTCATGATCCCAAAGGAAACGTACATCTCCACCCTCCACACCTCCTCCTCATTCCATGCATTCTCAACATTAGCATGGACCTGCCAACACAAAGGATGCTCACGATGGAATTCAACACAATCATCATCTTTCACTTTTTCTTTTATGCATGGCCAGATCAACCTGCAGAAGGTGAGCTGCTTTGCCCCTCCAGTGTTTACAGGAATACCTGCAGGTTTGCTGTGTGTTACATTGAAAGTGCAAAAGCTGAAATATTGAGGTTCTAAAACTAGATTTTTATTACCCCAAGACGTATTAATACTACCTTAAAACCCTTCTGATGTCAGTATACTGAATATTGTGCATCCGTTGTATGTATAATAAAAGTTCAATTAATAAAACTCCACAGATGTGTGCATGGACCCTGATGGACATGAGCAGCATTTGTGACAGTGCAGACTGGGTGTGCTTGTAGTGTGCTTATTTCACATGTGTAAACAGGTAGTGTGTACAGAATTTGGTTATGTATAAGTTGTGTGTACAGTTTTGAGATATTTGCCATCACTAAGGTGTATTTGCGTTTCCATTTCCTTGGATGTGGAAATATATAAACTGTATTCCTTCATTTTTATTTGATTTTTCAGGTAATATTTGCCCAAAGCCTGTCCAAAGCAGTGCAGGTGTGTAAGCTATATTGAGATCATCATGGTAAGTGATCGAAGACAGACACCCTGCCTCTTCACATTGCTCAGCTCTCAGTGACATGCAGTTATCAGATTTGAAAAAAAAGTTCAATTTGACTGCATACACTAAAATGTGATACTAGTGTATTCATAAATGAATCCATTTTGAACCTCCTGTCCATCAAATGGCTTTCTTTCTGTGAGTGAGATGAGAAGGTGGATATTAATCTCAAGTCTGTGTGTTTAGTACGGAATGGACACCGGAGGAGGAGATAGGTAGTCTTGTTTTACACAAAGACTGGACTCAGGGGAACCAGCTATCCTGGCTCTGTCCAAAGTTATACAAGACTAAGTGGTAACCTAGTACATGGCTGCACCGTCAATGGTCAATGTGCTAAATTGTGCCATATCGGAAAACAGAGACATTTAGTGTGTCTATAATGGGAATTTATGGATATTAAATGTCCATCTGCAATTTTCAGTAGTGGGCCCAGTAATATCTGTTCACTGAAGTAGAATCTCGCTTGTCATTGAGCTTTCAGTCAAATAACTGTGGGCTGCTTCAATTTTATGAATTAATCAACAATATAATCATGTTATCTTCAATAACATCCATTCCATCCATCCATTTTCCTCCGCTTATCCGGGTCAGGTCGCGGTGGCAACAGGCCAAGCAGGCTGACCCAGACTTCCCTCTCACCGGCAACATGTTCCAGCTCATTCTGGGGGATCCCGAGGCGTTCCCAGGCCAGCTGGGAGATGTAATCCCTCCAGCGTGTTCTGGGTCTTCCCCCGGGGTCTTTTCCCAGTTGGACGTGCCTGGAAAACCACCAGTGGGAGGCGTCCAGGAGGCATCCTAATTAGATGCCCGAACCACCTCAGCTGACTGGTTTCGACGCGAAGGAGTAGCGGCTCGACTCCAAGCTCCCTCCTGATGAGCTCCTTACCCTATCTCTAAGGCTGAGCCCGGCCACCCTACGGAGGAAGCTCATTTCGGCCGCTTGTAACCGCGACCTTGTCCTTTCAGTCACGACCCAGAGTTCGTGACCATAGGTGAGGGTAGGAATGTAGACCGAGTGGTAAATTGAGAGCTTTGGAGGTGCTAACTCTCATCCCCGCCGCTTCACACTCGGCTGCAAACCGCCCCAGTGAATGCTGGAGGTCACGATCCGAGGAGGCTAACAGGACCACATCATCTGCAAACAGCAGAGAGACGATCCCAAGACCCCCAAACCTGACGTTCTCCACCCCCAGGCTGCGCCTAGATATCCTGTCCATGAAAGTCACGAACAGGACCGGAGACAAAGGGCAGCCCTTGCGGAGGCCAACACCCACCGGGAACTGCTCCTACTGCAGTTGTACAGAGACCGGATCGCCCTTTGTAATGGGTCCGGCACCCCATACTCCCGCAGCACCCCCCACAAGAACCCCCGAGGGACCCGGTCGAAAGCCTTCTCCAAGTCCACAAAGTACATGTAGACTGGTTGGGCAAACTCCCAGAACCCCTCCAGTAGTCTTGCGAGGGTAAAGAGCTGGTCCACTGTTCCACGGCCGGGACGCATTGCTCCTCTTGTATCTGAGGTTCGACAAACGGTCGGAGCCTCCTTTCCAGCACCCTGGCATAAGCCTTCCCCGGGAGGCTGAGTAGTGTGATACCCCGGTAATTCGAGCACACTCTCCGGTCCCCCTTTTTGAAAATGGGAACCACCACCCCGGTCTGCCAGTCCATGGGCACTGATCCCGACCCCCATGCGACATTGAAGAGACGTGTCAGCCAGGACAGCCCAACTATGTCCAGCGCTTTCAGCATCTCAGGGCGGATCTCATCCACCCCCGGCGCCTTGCCACCAAGGAGCTTTTTGACTACCTCAGCGGCCTCTGTCAGGGATATGGGTGAGCCTCCCCCTAGATCTTCAGGCGCTGCCTCCTCTGCAGAGGACATGTTGGTCGGGTTTAGGAGTTCCTCAAAGTGCTCTTTCCACCGCCCGACGATGTCCCCTGTCCGGGTCAGCAGTCCCCCCCCCCCTGCTGAGAACAGCCTGGGGTAAGCCCTGCTTTCCCTTCCTGAGCCGTCGGATGGTTTGCCAGAACCTCCTTGAGGCCAACCGAAAGTCCTTCTCCATGGCCTCCCCGAACTCCTCCCATGCCCGAGTTTTAGCATTCGCGACCACCGTAGCTGCAGCCCTTCTGGCCTGCCGGTACCTGTCAGCTGCTTCAGGAGACCCCTGGGCCAACCAGGCCTTGAAGGTCTTCCTCTTCAGCTTGACGGCTTCCCTCACCTCCGGTGTCCACCACCGGGTTCTCGGGTTGCCGCCACGACAGGCACCGATGCCCTTCCGGCCACAGCTCCTAGCTGCCGCGTCCACAATAGAGGCTTTGAACATGGTCCATTCGGATTCCATGTCCCCAACCTCCCTCGGGATGTGTGAGAAGTTCTTCCGGAGGTGGGAGTTAAAGACCTCCCGGACAGGGTCCTCTGCCAGACGTTCCCAGTTCACCCTCACTACACGTTTGGGCTTGCCGGGTCTTTCCAACCGGTTCCCCTGCCATCTGATCCAACTCACCACCAGGTGGTGATCAGTTGACAGCTCTGCTCCTCTCTTTACCCGAGTGTCCAAGACATACGGCCGCAAATCAAATGATACGATTACAAAGTCGATCATTGATCTCCGGCCTAAGGTGTTCTGGTACCAGGTACACTTATGAGCCACCTTATGTTCGAACATGGTGTTCGTTATGGCCAAACCATGGCACGCACAGAAGTCCAATAACTAAACACCATTCGGGTTCAGATCGGGCAAGCCGTTCCTCCCAATCACCCCCCGCCAGGTTTCTCCGTCATTGCCCACGTGAGCGTTGAAGTCCCCCAGGACAACTATGGAGTCGGTAGGTGGCGCCCTTTCCAGGACCCCTCCCACCGACTCCAAGAAGGCCGGATACTCTGAACTGCCAGAGCCTTGCTCCCCGCAACCCGTAGGCGCATGGAGGCGACCCTCTCGTTCTCCGGGGAGAACTCCAACACAGCAGCGCTCAGCCGGGGGCTCGTGAGTATCCCCACTCCCGCCCGGCGCCTCTCACCCTGGGCAACTCCGGAAAAGGAAAGTAAAGGCTCTGGTCGCTATAATATATGGTAATTTAGTTATTTCTCCAGTGACAGTAATAACTGTCTTTTTAACAAGCTAGGTTAGCACACCCACAGCCTAACAGCACCTATGCAATCATTTTAATTTAGCCTACAAAACTGTATCTGTCTAGATATTAATGCGTATAGTCTTTTAGTCCCATAACAGCCATGTAAGTATTAGGAAAGAGGATCAGATGATTGATCACAGAAGTTTTTGTTTTCTTAAGTCACTTGTTTTTTGTTAGCAGCAGAATGGCCTTCTCATTTTAGAAAGAGCAACAGCCAGTGGATGAACTCCGACCAGAGCCAACAATGATGTAACTTCATCACTCACTTAGTTACAGACGTTTGCGTTCATATGACTGGTCCCCACTCTGCTGCGGTCCAGCAAACTTACACCTTCATACCAACACCTCTTAAGCTTACTGATTAACATGTCATTAACATTCTCTTTATGTTGTACACAGAGATGTAAAATTGAGAATTTGTAGGTGTAGGGAGAGTCATTAGCTGTTATTTTCTGACGAACACCAGTGTACCATCCACCTATTACTTCTGTGCAGCATCTCTACCTATAGTGCTTGTTGCCACATACAGTTTTTTTTTTGAGGCTTAATGTTTCCCAAACCTGTCAACCTCACTGTCACCTTTCATTTTGGTGAAAAAAGCCAGCTGTATGTGGGTGGACAGTCAAATGAATGAGTATCAGTGTGTGGACATGGTGCACCCCACTGACCTGCTGGTAGGCAGTGTTGAGCAGCAGATACCTCTCAGACCTCCTCATGGGCAGACAGAGGCTGTAGACAACATGGACAGCAGCCAGGAAAAAGCTGAGGAGACCCAGCTGTTTCCGGCTCTGCAGCCAGCCCTCCAGCCAGTGTGGGAAATGCCTGTACTTGGTACCATAGTAGAGCTGGTGGGCGGCTGCCAGCTGGCCTGCCAAGTACACCAGGGCCAAGAGAGTAATGGCAACAGTGGGCAGCGTCCTGTTCACCATCTCTATGGGGATCTTGTAGAAGTCACTCTGCTTGTATTTCACATATGGGTGGATGATATCTCGTACAAAAGAGTAAGCAAAAAAGAAGATGGAGAGGGCTACGGCAGCAAGGACGGGGCCCTTCCAGCCAGGAAATAACTGTATGGGAATGTTCTCAATATCCCGCGAGGAAGACAGGGTGCCCATATCCACCGGCAGGAAGTTGAGCTGGCGGGCTAATTCCATAATCTGCTGTCGAGCCTCCACCGAATCGCTGCAGATAAACACCTACACAGAGAGGAAGATGGGTTAGACACACAGTGAAGACAACCAGGAAGGATGGTGAGCACAGAGAGGTGAGGACACCTGCCGCTGGAAATAGTCCCCAGCAAATGCACTTAGTCCTCCTGTTTGAGTGACGGTTGCAAAAAAACTTGTGTCTGGCTGTTTTAGGAAATTACTGAACTATTTTCAAAAACAAAACTATATATCTGTGAACTGTTTTTAAAGATGCAGGTCTACAGTAAGACACAATAACAAGTGGCTGGTTGTGCCCTTGCATGGGATTTGTTGACAAGAAGATAAATATAGACTAATTCATATAAAAGCCTCGCAGCAGTTTAATATGTGCTCTCCCTGTATATGCAATCTTATTTCCTTCATTCAACCTTAATTCTCTTAACACTGGTGGTATAAATGTATTGTTTAGTTTCAGTTACTATTACTGTACGTCATGTCTTCTCTTGAGGATATCTGAAAACAAGTTGGTTTGTGTTTGCTCCCCTTTGTCACAGAACTGTGAACCGTTAAACAAGTAAAAAAGATCTACCCTACTTCACTTGTATTAAGAGTCCTGGATAGGTAAAACACCAGCATTGCACAAGACAATGAGCAGGGGAACTCCTTGTTACCAGTTCCTAGGTGTTGACCTGCTCACCAGCACTGCCCTCTGGGATTGATGTGACTGTGCAGACTGCCTTCCTGTTGCCATGCTGTAAGTTAGCTCCTGCCTCAAGTAAAGTGTCCCTTCGTCTTCCTACCTGTATGCCTTGTCAATATTTGTCTGTATATGTCTGTACATATCATCTGTCACTGTCAATATAAATCCTCTACGCTGTTTATACACTATATAGACATCCTTACATGTACATACTGTACATAGTCATCCAGTCCATGCATCTCTAACTATCCATGTATCTATTCAGTATTTATTTCTTGGCTCTATTTGCATTGTTTACAATGTACAGAACACTTGACTTGGATATAGATGTTTCATTTTTTATTTCATTGTTTTCACTACTTGTGTACATAACAGTTCTGTCTATTCTGTCCTCCACAACCTTGCCCCTTCATACCTTTCGGACCTCCTGTACCATCACACTTCCAACCGCAACCTCAGATCTGCCGACACCAACCTCCTTACCCCCCCTACTCTGTCCAAGCATCGGACCTGGGGGGACAGGGCCTTCTCCGTTGCTGCCCCCTCCCTCTGGAACTCCCTGCCCCAACACCTCAGACATTCTTCGTCACTCGCCACTTTCAAAACTGCACTTAAAACTCACCTAGTCAAATCTGCTTTTAACCTCTAAAGTCAGTCATGTACGTTTTTCTTTCTTTCTTTTCATGTTTATTTTATTTTTTTTCTTACTGTTATGTCGTATATTTTGTTCTTATTATAAATGCTTCTATTGTTTCTGTTTTTAACATGTAAAGTGTCTTTGAGTGCCTTTTAAAGCGCTATATAAATAAAATGTATTATTATTATTATTCTTTACCTTTATCCATCCAGCTTTGTTGTCCTTGTCCCTGACTGTTATCTGTATTTCTTTGTAAAAACATTGAGAGAGATGCAACTTGGCCAGTGAAGCTCATTCTGATTCTTTGTTGCTGGAATTCTCAGACAGTGACTCCCTGAGGGCTGTAGACCCCCTGGTTGAGAGCCACTGATCTAAAGGAAGGATGGGACTTTAAAGTTGGCCTCACCTGTTCATTACACCAGCAAAGACATTGTAACAAGACATTGTAATGATAGCAGGAGTTCTCCATGAAACCCATGCATTTCATTTTAGGTCGAAGAAGCTTCGTAATTGCAGGACTGAAGTTGTGCCCTGCAGTTTTATAATCCAAACCATGGATAAGGAAGCTGACTGGCTGGGGGATTATTTGAGAAGTTTTCCTATCGCTAGGAGCTCTATTATTGTGACTTTCCTGTATAGGAATTAATTTGCTCTGGAAAGGCTCACAAAGCTTTTTTTTTTTTTTTTTGATAATAATGCCTAAATCATAACAGTATTAATGTGTCAGAGAGCACGCAAGGCAGTCGCATAGTACTGTCACTGTCTCCGTCACATACAGAATGTCGGCTGCCATCTCTCCCATCAACAGAAGACATGGAGCCGATCAAGTCATGATGTCTTGTAGCCTTAGTTGAAGGCTGTTCCACTTATTTCCAAAGAATAGACTTGTTTAAACTTCTACTGAAACAAAATGTATTAAAAGACAGGGGTGTACTATGAAGCATGTCCAACAGAGCCAGGATTTATTTGCGCTCGACAAAACCTAAAAGCCCAATCAGAGATAACGGGTATCATGACAACGGTTATCTGTCGTTGTTAAGCAGGTTTTCTTCATCAGACTCTGTGCGGGTTCCCCATCATTTGAGTCTTCTACCTCACAAAATGGACCCATCATGTACCACCGACTTCAGTCAAGAGGATACTTATGAATAATATCAAAAAATTGTATCGCTAAATATAACGCTGTTTCAGCAGATAAGGCAAGAGAGGAATGCTTGATGCCTTCTGTTTATTTCTACCTTGACAGCTGCTCATTCTCTGGCTCTTAAACTCAAACTTTATATTACATGGTCATATACATACAAGTACTTACATGAAATTTGACCTCTGCATTTAACCCATCCTCAGCACCTATAGGAGCTGTGAGCTGCTGTGAAGTGCCCGGCAAGTAACTTGGGGTTCAGCATCTCACTCAAGGACACGTGGCCAGTAGGAGCCTGGGATCAAACCGCCGACCATGTGGTTGAAGGACATTACTATCTACGATTTTAAAGAAGGTTTCTTTTATAACCAGCATGGACAATTGGCCAGAGAACACTACAAACATATTCAGCAATTCACTCGGAGCAAGAACCATCAGCTGAATGCATGTTCCCCTGGCAAAACCATGCAACGCGATGCAGACAGTTTTGCACGACTGTAATTGCACGTCTTCGTTCTGTGGCTTATTAATGCCCGGCTCAACAAGTTTGCATACATAACAATGTTTTCTCAGCTGACAATCTATATTGCTCATAGAGAATATGGTGATGAAAAGCCAACTATTCTCTGAACACTCCTCCCCCTGAACAGAACCTCCTCTGGAGCAGGTTAGGTGTGCAGAATAAGAAATCATGGCGATCTAGCCAGGTTAAAAGAGAGCCATCTTTGTGACATTAAAGCATTCTTAACATACTGGATAACCCACTCATCCCTCCTCATAGTGCACCCCTCTGACAACCGCGACTCCTGACACTTCCCGTTCTCTGGAGTCAGATGTAAATGAGCTCCTTGATCTTTCTCCAGTTGTCCACTGACTCCTGGTGCATGACATTTGACCTCTTCCCAGTAGATGCTGAGAGTGGTTTTGGTCTGGTGTTCAAAGACAGCTGAAGTTGTCTCTGTTTATCCACTCACTTGTCCTGGGGTCCTTGAAGTCAGTGGACGTCCAGAGAAAGATCAGGGAGGACATTCACATCAACAGGGATCATCTTTGAACAGAGACAACCAGCTGTTCTCATGTGACTGACGATCCATACTTATGTGACTTGATGATTGCAGACCCGTCTCAGATAGATAAAGTGAAAAAGCCACTGAAATATCCAGAAGAAGCTTGTAAGTGGACCTTGATTTGTTTTTTCAAAGAGTAGAACATGAGTGATTGTACCTGTGTGCTGGCGTCTTTGGGGCAGCTCTGCTGCATTGCCCAGGCTGAGATTACATTGAAGCCTTTGACCGCAATGGAGCCTGGCAGCAGTGAAGCCAGATACTCAGCGTTAGACTCTGGATACTGGTTCACCCTCCTGTTGTTACTCACATCCACCAGGATCTTGCCTGCAGAACAACAAGACAAAATCATGATCTCTCTAGTTAAAGACATTCATATATACTAAACTGTCAGCTGCACAATATACCTTACTCAACTATTTGGGATTGTATGAGTGAACTATGTGCAATGCTAGATAGTATAACCCTCCTTGGCGTTGCCTCTGACTTTAACTGTTAACTGTTTTACTGTTTTTGTCGGCAGCATGTAGTATGAATTATAGTGCATCATTGCATATGTATGAGGTGCTTCAATGCAGTCACTCTAGTCATAATTATTACTATTTTGCATCTTATTGAGGATCTAGACTGAAGTTCAAAACCTATTCTGCCTACAATAATTTGCAATGTAGGTCTAAGTATTGTGTACTTTTGTTATATTATGGTGTCTGCAAGACTTCAACAGTCTGAGGTACTCAAATCCTCCAGAATAAGTCTTTTTGTGTCACTATTTCTCTGCTGCAGCTCAGCAAAAATACATAAATAAGCAACTTTGTTCCTAAAAAAGTGTATTTGGAAGATACTCAGTAATTTGTATGCCTCAGACTGCTGATGATCTTCAACTGAACTTTATAATGTGGATATTGTCCCTTATTTCTCACATTGAAATCATACTGCAAAGGGATCCCTTAATGGACAGAAGGAGAGATTAAGGAGGCCAAAACATCTTTCAATACGGCATGTGGGTATTAAGATAAACTTCAAAAGAACCTTTTCTTTAATATAGAGCAAACTCATTATAGTGTAGTCTATGCTTCAGTGTTATCAAGTGGTTTACCAGTCTATTAGACTACCTTGTCTATTAAACATACTACTTTCCTTCAGTCAGCCATTGCTTTGCTGTTTTGTGTATAGAGGTATTATTGGAGCAACACAACTGAGCACCTGTGACAGTGGAATTTGTAGTTGTAGGAAATAGTCACACATGTGTATCAATAAATGTGAAGTCACAGAAAAATGTTACACAACAGTTACACCTTCTCAAATTCTTCATTGCAGGTGTACAAATCCTTCTGTACTGCAGTGAATATGGTGCAAAACACATTCACACACCGTGTCAAAAAAAGTGAAGTTGTGGACAAAGGAAAACACAAGTCAATCATTACAGGTGCTTGAATCTGCCGCTAAGAGCCTCAAATGCTGCTTTTTCGCTCACAAATGAGTGATTTGTGTACCTGTAGAGTTAGGGGCAGGCGTTCCTTTCTGGCATATAATAATAACAATAATACATTTTATTATATAGCACTTTAAAAGGCACTCAAAGACACTTTACATGGTAAAAACAGAAACAATAAAAGCAATTATAATGAGAACAAAATAGATGACATCATAACAGTAAGGAACAACACGAAAAAAAAGAAAAAAGAAACATACATAACTAGCTTCACAGGTTAAAAGCAGATTTAAATAGATGAGTTTTGAAAGTGGCGAGTGACGGAGAATGTCTGAGGTGATGGGGGAGGGAGTTCCAGAGGGAGGGGGCAGAAAGAGAAGGCCCTGTCCCCCAGGTCCGATGCTTGGACAGAGTAGGGTGGGGGGGTAAGGATCCTTAACCTTAACCTCGAGGTTGGCATCGGCGGATCTGAGGTTGCGGGTGGGAGTGTGTCGATGCAGGAGGCCCGAAAGGTATGAAGGGGCGAGGTTGTGAAGGGTGATGAGGGTGATTATATGTGATGAGAATAATCTTGAACTGGATTATTTGCTGTATGGGGATCCAGTGGAGGTTTTGAAGGACTGGGGTGATGTGGTCTCTGGTGGGGGAGTGGGAGAGCAGATGGGCTGCTGAGTTCTGGATGTATTGTAGTTTGTTGATGATTTTGATGGATGAGCTATACATGATGTTGTTGCAGTAGTCCAGTCGAGAGGTGATGAATGCGTGGATGAGTGTTTCAGCGGCAAATAGATTGAATAGAAATAGATTGAAAGCCAATCGTTGCAAAGTAATATCAGGTCTTTGTCTGGTTAGGCTAATTGTACTAAGCATTTTTTTTTTTTACATTGTCTCATTTTGAATTTCCTCAAATGGAAGGATGACGATGAAGAAGGCACACTTCTGTCAGAGGGAGCAACTTTTTATTTTAAGATTTTTTTATCCACTTGTTAGCGCTAAGAATTACTGAATTCATGGCAAATATAGCAACAGCAATCACAATCAGATTTAAAGGCCAAATGCGTACACATGTTGCTCTCCATGTACAAACACCACAGAAATAGACACGTGGGGGAAAAAAGAGCAATAGGGGATGGAACCAAATGCAGGTAGACACCGGAGCAGAAGGATATTCAACAGTGATTTTGATAAAGAATAGACCAAAACAAAATTTGCAAAGGCGAGTCCAAAAGGGAGTAACTATAAAATCCAGTCCAGTCTGGTTTGTTCCAGACGGGAACAACGGAACCACAAAGCTGCAGAATGAGGGGGGCCGGACAGGGGCGAAGCAGGGAACCCCAGACCCATGGCCTGGGGGCAAGGCAGACAGGCAGAACCGGACAACCAGGCTGGACAATCAGGCTGACTGAGCTGCTCCGGGGGACAGGCAAGAGGACGACCAGGCTGACTGGGATGCTCCATAGGACGGGAATGAGGACGACCAGGCCGGCTGGGTTGGCCTGGAGGTCGGGGCTCTGGAGACTGGGTTTTTGGGGTTCGGGGCTCTGGAGACAGGGTCTATGGGGGTCAGAGCACTGGAGACTGGAGTTCTGTATCGGCAGCAGCTGGAACAGGGGTTTGATGCAGCCCATCTGGATCAGGAACCGAGAGAAGCTGCGGCCGAGCGGGATTAAGAACTGGGGAACACTGTGGCCCAGCTGGAATAGGAACCAGAGATCGATGCGGTCAAGCAGGAACAGAAGCAAAAGAACCGCCGACAGGAATCGTGGAGCGGGAGTCGGACAAGGAACTGACGAGTCGTTTCTTGTATACATATTCTTGTATTTTCATAATTTTTTCATAGGCTGTCATTGCTTCTGCAATTGCTCACAATTATCGTATTGTAATCAGTGACGTCATGCACATCGTATATCAAAGGGGTATCAGATCCATCGCATTAGGAGTGATGTATGATTCATTAAAAGTGGCATGTCATGGAGACTTACTGCTGAGCCAAATCTATATAATTTCATGCCTGTTATTCCAGTCCACTAGCCACGTAGTCTAAGCTCAGACTGTTGCTATTCAGGTCACTGCTGACCGTTAGCCATTGCTGGCTAGAGCCTATACATTGCACACAGGGCATTGCTGTCCTCAAGCCATTGTAGGCTAAGCTAATAAAAGTAGATCTCGTAGTTGCTCTGGTCAGTGCTGATCTAGTCAGTGCAGCGCTTTTGTTGCTGTCTTCTCATTCATGGTATGCCCTTAACACTGAGTCTACTCTGACAGCAAGGACGGCCGCTGACAACTCGAGTCAGGGAATAGTTACAGCCTTCAGTGGTGTCACTCTGGCTTTACCGAGCAGAAAGGTGACATGGATGTGTTTTTCTTGATTGAACATCCGGATGTATGTTACAGTTCCGTACCCACTTTCGCTGGCATCAGCAAAGTGATGTAGTTGGGCATGGTGAGAGTCCAACTTGAATCTGAAAGAGTAACCCTCCACGCACCACTGCAGACCCAGACCCGAACTCTCTCCACTGGAAGTTTGTCTCGGTCCAAATCCAACTCTTTTAAATCCTTGGCCCTCTGATCCTCTGCAATGGCGTGCAAAACAACACGTGTGCTGCTGATCCATTGCTCCAAGTTGAAGTTCCCCTTCCGACACAGAGTAATGATTTCTTTTATCATCCGGATAGCATCAAACAGTCATCCACTTAGAAATTATGCTTGACAGATTGTGCCACTTCAGTCGCAAACTGGTTATCAGCAGCAGTTTTCGTCAATGCATAGCTTGCACAACTGGGCGATGACTAGTGGTGTAACTGATCACGGATCGATCCGTTTTACAGTTTAATCAGTTTAATCCTACGTTGGCGGAGACGCACAAGCGCACTGGCTCGGTTTCCTCTCTACAGCGTTTCACAGCGCGAGTAAAGGTGACCGCACCTTTGACAAGAATGCCCAGAAACTCCACAGATGTTCAAAGAAAAGTAAGTCCACTGGAGTTGTGTCCCTGATGTTTATGAGCTCATCTCTGGTGAAAGAGCTCCGGGTATCACAGCAGAAAACTGAATTTACAATAAAAACAATACAAAACAATGCGCACGAACACACCGAGGTCTCTCGACGCCCCACAAATCTCTGCCCTTAAAGCACCACTGTCCTGATACAAACGGGCCATTCCCACAGCTGTTGATACCTTGGGAGCGTTAGTTCCAATGAACAAGTCCACGCTTGCCTTTATGCTTGGGATGTGTACTTTTGATTAATACGGCCATTTAGTGAGGTCTTCAGGTGTCACCATGTTATCAGCAGTGTCTGGCATTGTCATCTGTGTTAGAACATCTGGTAAAGTATAAAAGTCATCGCTGTCCAGACCAGATACCTCCAAACCACTCAAGGTGTAAGTTTCCTGCCCCATTGTTTGCAACAAGTAGTTGGTTCTTTTGCCTAATGTTAAGCTTCTGCATTAAATGTTCTGAGCAGAACGTGGCTGAACTACCAGGATCCAGGAAGGCATATATTTTGATAATGTGGTTAACCTCAAATTGAAGCCTACAAATCTTAGGATTCTTTTTTTAAATGACAAATGAGGAAGTGTTCTTTACCATAAAGTACCTAAAATATAATGGTATAGATCACAATCTGTTATAACAGACTATATACTGGTGACCTACCTGGACCTGTATCGCAGGTCTGGACAGGTCCTGCTCAGGACCCACAATGTCGCATTGTTCTGTAGAGAGAAGAATATGACAGTTTAAATACCAATGGGACAGCTCCAGCTGCCTGATTCACATGGCAAATAATCGTGCTAACAAAAGCTATCAGAATCAGAATCAGCTTTATTTGTTTTTACGTTGCTCTCAACGTACATACACAGAAATTACAAATAAAACAAGGACAACAAAAGCTATCATCGCATTCACTTAATTTACATATCTAACAGAACTGGTACAGTCAGGCACACATGTTTGTTTGCAGACGTGTGCACACATACACACACAAACACACACAGTAACGTTACACGAACAGTTAGGTTCCTTGGCTAGAAATCATAATAGATAATATAAGATACAACTATGTTAGAAATAGCAAGTGACACAACGTAACACAACACGTCTAGTAGCCTACAGCACAGACAACATATATGATCAATACTTACACGTTATTCATCTTGTAGGGATCCAGTAAGTTAGCTGATGAATGTATGTGCTGCTGTTTAAAGACAAAAAAGCGACCCGCCCACGTCCACTTTTGCTCCACATTTCAGAGATATGTGATGCAAAAAGGAGAGCACACGAAAAAGCAGCATTTGAGGCTCGTAGCGGCAAATTCAAGCACCTGTAGTTGTTGTTTGTGATAGAAAAATATCCAAGAAAAAAAGCTTTTCTTTTCCACAACTGTACATTTCTTGACACGGTGTCTGAATGTGTTTTGCACCATATTCACTGCAGTAACTGTAGCAAAAATGTGAGCGTGTGAGTTTCTTAATTTGTCATTTTTAGAAAAGGATGCATTTGAGTCACGACTTGACTGGTGTAAAAGTGAAGAGACAGTTAGTGTTCTCAGTGTGATGCATGTTATTTACCCTCCAGTAGATGCTTGAGGTCCCAAAGGACCGAGTAATGCTCACGGCGGATTGCCAGGAACACGATGCTGGCCTTCCCCACAGCGTCTTCATGGTGTGTCACATCCACCACATGAGGAAAAAACTGGGCCGCCAGTTTGGGATGGCGGCTGCCCACCACCACATGGAAGCCAGAGCGCAGCAGGCGGATGGTCAAGCACTTGGAGAAGTCACCTGAGCCCAGGATGGCCACTGTGGACTGGGCAGGCAGACAGACAGTCTCTGGGTCTCCAACTCTGCTCTTTGTGCCGTTGGGCAGGAAACAAGCCTGCGTGTGTCGGAGGTGGTGGGAGGATGGGGCCGTGAGGAACAAGGGGCTCCTGCTGCCGCCCAGCATAGAGATGGAGTCCATCCTTCACTACTTCTGTGGTTGTCTACTTAGGAGGATTTCAGTGGGTCTGAGGGACGGAAGAGGACAGGAAAAGAGGGGATTGGTTTTCTTGCAGTCCCACATATCATTACAGATAGACAGAAATAAAACATCACAGCAGATTATGATGAGAGCTACACATGCTCAGATTTGATGTCTTTAATCAAAAAATGAAACTTCAACCCTGGTCTAAACAGATTAATATCAGTCTAATAGAGTGATGCAGGAATGAGTCATAAAAGCAGGAAATGAGTTGCCCTCCAAGTTCCCTTGTCTCGAAGTCAAAGTGTCTTTTGAGAGGGTTTTTGGTTAGATGCATTAAATAGGGTCTGTGGATAACACAAGCTTAAGACATTTTCAAGTTTGGTTTTACGATTTAAAATATGTCAGTAAATAATAGATTTAAAAGTCTTGAAGTTACCATATTGTAAAAGTGTGATTTTCATATCGGGTTTATATAAAGCAGGTCTAATATCTATACTTTCACAGTATAGATATTGTAATGCTCAATCCATGGAGAAATACACACAGCCCGTATTCAGAAACTGTGCCTTTAAAACAAGCCGTCAGGTTTTCCATACAGTTGTGATGTAACAACTATACAATATACATCAGGGGTCACTAATAGAAGGTCCGGACCCAGACGCCGTTGTATCTGGACCCTGAACATATAACCGAGAGATAATTGACAATTATTACATTTTGAAAGAGCACTTCTATTTTAAGCGGCGCAGCTTTTCTAGCCTTTACGGCACTCGTTCAGCAGCGCATGAAACACACCGACCAATTACATGCGTTGTAAATCACATCACGTGATGATACTCAGCCAATCCAATATGTTTATTCCGATTTACACACACGGGGGAGACGGGCGAAAGGCTGAGTAGTTGGAGAACAATACGTGAGTCAGAGAAGTTATTTCCAAAAAGAGAAATGTGGACAGCGAAACCAGAGAGATCAGAGTCTTTAACCAAGAATGAACAGACTTTTAAATGTTAATTCTTCCCACAGGCAGTTTAAAACCAGTATGTCTCATATGTTCAGAGACCGTGACGATTATTAAAAGCAGTGAATGAAGCACCGCTACGAGACAAAGCACAAATCTTTTTAGCAAATGTACTATAGTAACTAATTCCAGCAACTAGCCACTCGGCTGGGTGCGGGAGAAGACCATGTTTCTTACTCGCTTCAATAAAGAGATTCCAGGCTCTTTCACTTTTGGGTCTTTCGTTTAATTAGAATTTCGGTTTACAAATGATGATATGAAAAGATGACTGACTTATCTTCCTGGTGTCTCTCTGGTATGTGCGATCTCCCCATCACCCATGTCTCATTACCTCTCTGTTGCACCTGTGCCCCATAATACAAATTATCTGCCACACTAATCCACACTGCCACCTGTGGCCAACCTGAGGTAGGCTCCCTCTATAAACAGATATAATACACAGGCATAACTAATGGCTCCTACACGTACCCACTCACATCCGAAATGAAGTCACAGATAATAAACAATCTAAGAGCTCAATATGATCACAATCCTAAAACACATTAATTCACTGTCCAACAATGATGTTAACAGAGAGGAATATAGCTGAAACAAGTGGTTTAATAAAACAGATTAAGTCCCTGAACACAACTTTCTCTTTTTAGAAGATGAGAAAATAATAATATGGTGGCTTTTTTGGTTGACATCACTTCACACCTTAATTTAAAGCTGCAGGACAATTCAGTGAAATTACTTTTTCTAAGATGAAGTCCTTTATTTTAAGATGCACATTTTTCAAAAGCTTTCTGTTATGTAATTTATTCTTTGATCCAGTCCTTATTTTACTTAAAATGAGAGAACATTTATTTATCAATAGCGTATGTATTATTTATAATTCATCGAGTTCAATTTGAAAACTAAATATTGTAGAGACATTATTCAATTGAACGTTCTTTATTTGATTTGACAGTCAGTTGTTGTCTACATACAGACGTTAATACAACTGTTGGCTAATTCAATATATATGGGACTAATTCATAGCGCAAGTTAGACATTACTGTGATGTTCCGGACCTTTGCGTGAGGAAATTCTCTCTATATGGACCTCACTGAACTTTAATTGAATACCCCTGATAAACACAAACCACTTAATTTACAGTTGCAGTGTATGTGAAGGACATCAGCTGACAAGAAGTAAACATGGACCCAAGCTGTCGCCTAGCCATGCATTTCCATTGAAACGCACTAAAACGGAGCGTTTCAGACAGACAGCGAATATGGGTAAATTCAGACGTATGAGAAAAACAAAGAGTTTTTTAAATATGAAAGCATGTAAACATGTTCTAGTAGAAACTCAAAATGCAAGTATGAATCTGGAAATGAGCACAATAGGTCTACTTTAAAAAAAGGCGGTTGCTAAAAAGTGGGTAAATGAAACCATAAAACGTCATCACGCTGACTAGTCCGGCTTCACAACTCATGCTCGTGTGAACTTGGTGTAGTTAATTTATAGCCTGACGATAGCTTTTTACTTCTCCTACTGGAGAGCAATTCATGTTTTGTTCCTTTATAGTTTATGTGTGTGGACTTCACAATAGTTGTGCAGAACTAAATACACATTAATAAGAAAAGGAAACTCCTCCGTTTTGTGTCCATCCTCCTCAAAGCCTCAAACCGTGACTTCAGACGGCTGATAACGCCTCTCACTAGTCGCTCCAATAACAGCTGCTAGTAAAGACAACAAGGTCAGCAACGCCTGTAATCAGTTCTCCATGTTGAATTAACCTGGTAGTCGATCGGTAATCAAGGCTGTTGTTGTTTGTGATTTTCTGGGAAAGGGTCACGTGATAGGGGCGTGACAAATCAGGGAAGGACACGTCGTGAACGCTAAGGACCAACCAAGTAGCGAACACTGGTGTCTACGTCATCGTTTCTAAACTTATGCATTTACGCCGTCCACACTATGAGGTAACCCCGGAGTTTTCAAACTTATCCGACATCTGGAGCGTTTTCAAACGCATCCGTTTTCTAGTGCTCTGAAACTCCGGCGTAGTGTGGACGCTCAGGGTAAACATAGCAAAACATATGTGTTTTCAAATGGAAACATAGTAGTGTGGACATGGCCTAAGAGCTTTGTCATGATGATGTCATAGTGATGTCTTTGGGTTATCTCAGCTTGAGCGTGGACTTGGAGACCACACATTTAGAGCAGAAACCAAAACTGGAGGTGTGTTGTTTGGTGTTGATGTTTACCAGGCATGGAGGGTCTAATAAAAAGATGCCATTGGCTGCATTATGCGAAATGTAGGATCCAGTGTTTCAGTAGCTTTACCTGTGATCGGCACTAAAACCCAGGACATCTCTGCCTTTAAACCATTCTTAACTATCATCGCTGCTTGAGCTGATGCTTACAATGTTAGCAGAATGTGCTTTGGCAGCATTAGAATGCACATAAAACGTGTTAAACTAATTCAATCGTTATAATAATGAACATTATTCAAATAAATAACAATTTTTCAAAAAAGGAAAAGGACCGGAGTGCTCAGACGTTCAAACCAGTGTAATGAAGGTTCTCTATGGAAGGAGACACTAGGAAGGTTCAAGGCACTCTTCTAGCCTTTAATCAGACAGACTGTCTATGTTGTTAGTTCTTCACAATGAATAGACGTCTGATTAAAGGCTAGAGGACTGCCTCAGACCTTCTTTCTTTTTAGAAATCATTATTTTTGATCAAAGTATTTTAGCAGAGGGGGTTCCACAATGTAAGGGAGGTAACCAGACACATTTGTAAGGTGTGGCCAGTGTTGTTAACTGACAAACAACACTGAGAGTTCAACCTTGACCTTGGAAACAGCAACTGACAAAGACCATCTCACCACAAGGTCCACTCAGTTCTAGAGCTTGACGTGTTTTTGAAAGTAAAAACATTGGCACTACTTTCTGATAAGGCCTTGCTCATGAAGGGTTGATAACTAGAGTGGTTTTATTTTTGGTTAATAAAACAGTTACTAATGCTGTATAGATCAGTTATATGACACCAATAATTACACATGTTGGGTTGCCAGGTTGCAAAGTGAAAACAGGCGGGTCCTACAGCTATCCATCATCTGCTGAAGCAGCTCGGTAAAAGCCGATCAGATATCCGTCCACCGGGAGAAGCTGCGTCTTCCTATGACCTTCTGTCTGCAGAGACGTGTGTTGTGAAGGACACGGCCGTGTGTGTGCACAGCCTGAGTGCACCTGTAGCGCTGCAGCACGGCCAACACACACCACACAGCTAACTGATGACAACACACACGCACACACGCATGTCTGACTCAGCCCACAGTGAAAGCACATACAGTGTGTATGTGTGATGGTATGATACCGACCTGTCATCGAGCTTCACGCAGACCAGCTGCTAGCTGCATCCTCCTCCTCCTGATGCTCTCTACCTCCTGTCTGCACATATGCTGCGTTCACGTCCCGTGGGGAAGATCGGAGATAGCAGCTTCCGTCTTAAAATAACGTGTGTATAGTTTTTGCATAACCAGCAGTGGCGGCTGGTGGAAATTTTTCTAGGTCGGGCTGTGCCACATCCAATCAATTTCAGCAAACATCCCAGTATGATTTAATGCAAAAAAATTAAGGTATCAAACACGCATTACTACTTTGCAGTTAAATATTTATTCCAACATGAAAAAAGCAGTAAATAACACTTTGACAAACACGTCAGGACATCATATTTTTCTCACCCTCACAGGCAATTCAGTATAATATAATAATATATATATCATATAATAATATTCACTATAATATAAAACACACACACACACACACACACACACACACACACACACACACACACACACACACACACACATGCA